GATCAAGAGTATAATTTAGTTTCCCCCCTCTTCTCCGTATTAGAACTATTCCATTTTATAAACCTATCCTATCTTAGAAAGGGTTTATTTATGCGGCGTACCGTTCCGTTTTGCCTTAAATAGTCTGTATTTGAGGTGTACACTGTACTTTATATTTTAGAAGGCGTACAGTCCCCTTTTTCCTTAAACTGTACACTTTTGAACTGTACACTGTGCTTTATATCTATAAATGTCTGATAAAAAGGTATTTCTATTTTATATTTAACAAATCCCAATACAAAATTTCGACTTTTCTTTTTACTCCTTTCTTGTCGTTTTAAATGAAAGTATAAAAAGAAAACAGATCTGCAATTGTTTAAAGATAGACTAAAGCGTGATTAATTCAAATATAAGAAATCGAATGGATATAGTCCAGGGGGGGCGACTTGTAGATGTTCTTTCTACATTCTAAACCCATTAATCCAGGTTATATTAGATCAGGTTAGGATAAATATAATATATATATTACTCAATCTTATATCTGGGAATGAAAGCTTTAGAGCCCCCCCCCCCATAACCCAACCTTCTGTGGGTTAATTTGAGCATTCAAAGACTGCTTTCTATCCAATTTTTGACCAATTACCGTCAAATTTTGCACTATTAGTGAAAACCTAATTTTCTTGGTTTCTACAGAAGATTAGGATAGCGTAAGTAAAGGAAAGAATGAAACGTGTGTACACAAGTCATCTACAGCAGTGTACATCAGTGTACAAGCATACAGTGTACAGTGTACGGGGTCAGAAATTATTCAAACACTCAGATAAATATTCTATAACTTTAACTTAAAATTAATAAATAGCAAACTTTTTTCACAAAAGTTTTTGACAATATAGAATAGATAGATAAAATAGATAGATAGAATAGATATATAGAATAGATAGATAAAATAGATAGATAGAATAGACATATAAAATAGATAGATAAAATAGATAGATAGAATAGATATATAGAATAGATAGATGGAGTAGATAGAAAGGAAAGATAGATAGAATAGATATATATATATATAAAATAGATATATGGAATTGATATAGATAGATGGATATATAGATAGATACTATATAGTATAAATATAGAGAATAGATATATACTACAGTGATAACCAGAAAACTCTGAAATAGGAAGACGACTTTTAGAATCAAGTTATGACTTTAAATAGTCATAGGAACATGAAACAGAGTAACTGTGAAGTTTTAACAGATTCATTTAACTAGTAATTTACCCAATGTGGTCTGATATTTATTCGGAAAAAAGATTTTTTTACGTAAATACGCATTAGCTCTGCCAGTTTAAAAGATTCAATCAACGTAAACCACATTTTGAAAAGCCCATAAATGATTTGCTTTCTGACTTCTAAAGACAACTACAAGAAGTAATCTCTTAATAATTTCCTTTGCAAGAACTACATAGATTGAAAAATAAATTTCGCAAAATGTTCAGATTTTTGGAGGAAAATTACCAGGTTTCCAAATTGTTCCCGATAGATTTGGTTCCAAAAATACACAGGTTTCTGGAGAAACAATCGAAAATAAAGAATTTTAGGAGTCTATAAATGGAGAGCCAAACTACAGTCCCATTAAGATACCAGAAAAGTACAGTTTGAGCAAATAAATAATATTTATCAATATTTTGATAAGCACGCTGCTGTACAAATTTCAATCAAAGCTTTATTTATCAAACCAATGTTTACATAAAGTGATAAAAGCGGAGTTTATTTAAATGCAAATCAAATATTTAAGTAATAAAATAAATCGTAAAAATAAAAGATTTTTGTCAATATTTTTCCAATTATTAAAGTTGAAAGTGAATTTTTAATCAAAGAATTCATGGATTAAATAAAGAAAAGATTGGGGTTAAAGCATGGATCAAAGAAGAATGGATTTAAAGCAGGGATCAAAGAAGAATGGATTTAAAGCATAGATCTAAGAAGAATGGATCCAACAACTGCCATCAATCCAACACTGAGAGATCCAGCACCTGTAACATAAAAATTTGTATTAAAGGGACTGTAAGTGTAATTTCAAGTGACCCTCCATGAAAAGATGGCAATGCCAGATTTACAACGGTTTCTGTGAATTTCTCTATTGGTTCTTATTCGCAAGAGAAACCACAAATGTAAATAAACAGTTCAAATAAACAAAAAAAAGGATATTTCATTCATACTTAATTAGACAAAGCGTTAAAGGGTACCGTTGTAAATCGGGCATTGCCATATTTTTCTAAAGGGTCACTTGAAATTACGCGTACAGTCCCTTTAAAGTGATTGTTCAGAAATATTGAAGGAGGCGTCATACAGGGTTACCTACAACAGATGAGATTGTAAAGACGACCTGAAAATCCAAGATAGAATTTAATCTTCTGTCGTAAGCATTTAATGGGTTGACAAAAACAAGTTTTTAGAAACAATGAATAAAAGGAAACAGACAGTATATAGATTCCGTACAGTCGTCTCTAAATCTCTTCATTAGTGGGCAACCGTATGTACTAACCTGCAGTATCAAAATCCTTATTGCAACCGTCAGTATCGCACCAACATGTTTTCTACATAACATAAATGTGAATTAAAACAAAATAAATCTGAGTGTATATTGGATATATGGGAATTAAGTTAAGACTTCTATATCGTGTTTGCTGCTCAACGCTTCATCCACAGTGGACTAAGCCAGTGGGGTCGGTCAAATAGGCCTAGGATTAGGCCGGGTACTGTAAAAAGTCTGAACGCGTCATATGAGTTGTCATAGTTAGCCCTCGGACGGGACTATGCCAAGAGAATTGACCCCAGTCGTATGTTAGTCTGGTTAGAACTACGTACTGTACCATAGGATCGGGTCAGTACACGCTGTTATCTGGCAGGCCGGTACAAAATGGGCAGGTCCTGTTCGAATTCAAATTTACTACGGCCCAGAGTGCATCTCATAGTAAATATAATTTTTACAATTTTTACTTTTAATAGTGTACCAAGGATAAGTGTTATTAGTTCAAAGAATTGATAAAAAGCATACTTCATTATCAGATTGTTACTAAAGAGGAGAGCATATGAGCTAGTGATTTGAATTTCCAAATCTGAGATAAATAAAAAATACCGTAGCTCCAACTTCAGAGCAGCCAATGGTGAACCCGGGTGAAAGCCAGCATGATTTTAAAACTTGTCCATCGGGTTCTAAACAAAGTCTTTACTTTATCTGGTTACATTACTGAAATAATAAAAGAAACATAATATTTACATAAATGTATAATACAAAAAAATCTTCAAAGACTTCATTTTCCATTATCCTGTTTCATACAATTGGATTTTATTGGTCTTTGCTTTGAAGAATCAAATATTGACATTTCTATTATCACAAAAAAGTTGTTTAAAACCATTAAGCTCTCACTATCCCTGGGATAGTTGTTTCGAAGCTGATAAAAAAAAGTGTCCTTGACAAATCCGGTTTTTCTAGCATTTTCCTGGAATTTCAGATTTAAAAAAAAGCATTAACTCTCTACTTATGCTGATGTATAAAATATGCTGCTTCCACTTTTTTTGACTGACAGGAATTGAGTCTCTGGCACAAACTAACATTTTTCTAATCCATTATATCTTTGCAACATATCAGTATAAACCTTTTCAATCTTCTTCAAGGTTCTTTCGACCTTGAACAAACAAGAATATCCATAAATCTACGGAAAAATGACATATTGTTCTGCATAACTACACAAGGCCTAAAAAAATATTTCTTACGTCCTGTTATTTGGCAAGCATTTGAAACATCAGCGCATTCCTCTAGGTCTCCTGAAAGAATTATTAAAAATTACTATTATTAAAAGACATTGACTACGTAATTTTTTATTGACGCTTATCCCGTTAACTGATTGTAAGCATAATTTCAAGTGACTTTCCATGCAAAGATAGCAATGCCCGGTATATTAAAAGCATCTTCTGATCAAGATATGACGTAGATATCAATGTTTTTTTGTTTATTTAAAGGAAGTGACCGGTAATGTATGTTAGTTGAACTGAAACATTGCCGGTCACTCCCTTTAAACTGTTTATTTACATTTTTGGTTTCCCTATGAAAGTGACTTGGGCATTTCTTGTTGAGAAGCCATGGAGAAACTTACAGAAACAAAAACGTTTTGATCAGATTAAGGTTTCAAGGATACCATTGTAAATCGGGCGTTGTTATCTTTTCAAGGAGGGTCACTTGAGTCCTTTTAAATCTAAGAGTGCCATAATCGATTTATAATATTTACCTTTTGGCTATATAAAATGAGATAATTTTATCAATTGGATCAATTGGAATCTTCATATGATATGAGTTTTAGGTCGTTTTTGTAGACTTAATCTTTGTGGCTAAATTATGACAATTTTCTTCCGGATTTTGTGATAAAAATATCAGAGGCCGAATTAAAAAAATTTGAGCCGCAGCTTAAATTTGGGACGCGGCTGAAATACGGTTGGTTCCACTTTAAATTGTATTCAATGTTTCAAGATTTAAGCCGGCGCTCAATTAAAACCGGTTTTTGGTGGATTTGAGACGCAGCTCAAATTCATTAAATTCGGACTCAGGGTCATTTTCGTAAGTTCAGGTTTTTCCCATTTTAAAGTTTAAATAATTGTAAATCGTCAAAAGGGCTCTAGGCTTAATTTTAAGTTACCCTTCATCCAAAAAGTCACGATGTCAGATTCACAATCTTTATCTGATCAGTAATGTGGAAAACATTGCTGTGTTTCTATGTTAAAAGGGTTTGATTCTGCTAACTAACTACTGTATGTTTTCCAGTAGTAGGAACCACATTAAAAAAATTATTAACATTGACATGTAATTTATACTTGATCAGACAAAGCTTTTACTGGTACCACTGTGAATCAGACATTGCCATCTTTAAATGGGGAGTCAATCGAAATTACGCTTAAAGTTCCTTTAAGGACTTGAATGGTGACAAAAAAACGAGAATTTACATAAATAATAATATTGGATTTACCCACCTACATTGTTTCCGTCTTGGTCACACAATGAACTGCACACATAGCACTAAACAGTAAACAATAGAACAAAATTATAGGCATGGCCACTGCTGCAAACTAGAGTTTCCAGCTAAATGGAAAAATCGTTTCGCGAAAATTTCGCAAAAAATATAGTTCTTTTTCGCATTCCTTTCGTAGAAAATTTTGTTCGCGCTTTTTTCGCGAAAATCCGCAACGTTTTCGCTTCCTTTCGCCAAATTCATTTTCGCAGGAAAGTATACAAAAATTAAAATAAAATTTTCGCAAAATTTCGCAATTTTTAACTAAAGTTTCTTTTGCTTGAAACTAGTTAGGAGGAGATGGTCAAATGTAGCTAAAGCTAGTTCAACTAAATTCGTTTTGCCGCGGAGTAGTGTTTTGATCAAGAGTATAATTTAGTTTTATTCTTCTAATGGATTAAACAATTAGTTTAACTTACTTTAATTGCTTGAGAGGAAGAGAGGAAAGTAAGGAAGAGAAGAACCGAAACAAGTTTCATCATTATAAACTAAAATAATTTCTTTTATATACTTTGCTTGTCTGATTGTTCGTCTGTCTGTCTGTCTCCCAAAAACGTCAGAATCAGGGCCAAATTCGTTGCGTCAACTAACATGAGCCCAGGTTAGGTTTATAGTTGACTAAAATTAAAAAATTTTACGTGGAAAAAATGTCGACATGTAATAGTGAAATAGTAAACAGTAAATGTTCAACATTTATTTCACTCTTACCCTAGCGCCATTAGTAGAAAACAAATATTTTCTTTGATAAGAAAAATACCATGTATTTATAAAATTTTGTAAAGTAATATTAGCAATAACAGCATTTCAATAATAAGGTTTAAGAGTTTATTGCCGACCTAGCTTTCAGGACTCTTTGTGTCACTTTCTAGTAACTATAACAATTAACCAGGCATTGGAATATGAAAACGGTATTGTAGCAATACTTAAGTGTATTTGATGTTGTTAAAAGCAAATAATATTTACTCGACACTAATTTAGTGACTTGGGTCTGCTGCACAATTGATTCTAAAACTTCCTATTTCAGAGTTTTCTGGTTATCACTGTAGTTTTTCAATTCGTCATTTTACATAACATCATTCTCGGCAACAAACAAAAAAGTGAAAGTACTCGATAAAAACCTTTGTTTTTAACCCCACGAGTTTTTAGTGTATAGAGTGATAATGTACGCTAATCCTTTACTAATTGTATAGGCCATCAACTATACCGAGAGCGTACTGCATATTTGTTTATTATAAGTTGATTCTATAGTATATCAATAATGGTAAACTGTTGTAAGTGTATACTGTACAGGCTACAGCTAATGAAGAACACAGGTAGAGACAAAGAGAATAGAATATATATTAGAGTGGAATTTACTAGAAAAAGTGTAAAACGGCCATGTTGTTGTACTGTTTCCATACTGCAGGCGTACTTTACATATTTGCACTATATAACCTTTTGGGCCCTGGAACATCATTTTATAGAAAATCTAAAACTGATATTAAAAGAAAACCAAATTATGAAATAGGCTGGTTTCATAATTGACCAATGATCATTTCAAAAAGACTCTATGCCTTTCACTTTACAAACATTTATTTTCCGTTATTATAACTATAAATCAAATGATGTTTTTTATACACCTAATTCATTATAAAGTTTACTTAACAGATTTAAACAATTCAAAATTGAAATGGATAGTCTAGGGAACATACTGTATTAATGTACTGCATATAATTTGTGAACATTTACATGATTTGTACAACTCCCTTTCAGGCTGAAAGGGACTGAAAAAATTCATACCGAGAGATTCTCTAAATTCCCCTCTAATATATATTCTATTCTCTTTGAGTAGAGACAGAAAAACTACGATATATCTTCTTAAGTATTAATCCGACGAAAGAGTAAAAGTTCAGCGGGCAAGAAACGCTTTAAATTGAGATAGTTAGTGGAAATTGCGTCTAGTCACTGGCAGCCGTAGTACATTTAAATTTCCGAGCCGGGTCAACCTTTCCGGTCCCAGTTTGTACTGTATCGCCCGGAAATTACGTAAATAAAGTAGACACTCAATAGGACTAGCCAGTGCAACAAGGTTGACGCGGGCAGACTTTAGGTTGAAATTACTTTTACTACAGGGTCAGAGGTGTGTGTGCAGTCCCTTTATGCTATGAATAATATTAATAAAATGTTACCTAACCTAAAGCTTCTAACGATAAGAACTATACTAGAAATATTACAGGAGCGAGCTAGAACCTTGTATTGGAAAATAAAAGATAAGCGTTGAACGCAAACATGGAATATAGATAATACGTCAGTTGTATAACCTCAATAATTATATGTAATCATTATCAGTCTATAAAATAAAAAATACATATTTATATTGTTGTTATTATACAGGGGAAATTACTTCCGAAACTAACACTTGGCCCATTTCTAACACTTAGTGTTAGAAATGGGCCAAATCTGCAAAATTATCTTTTTCAAGCGTACATATATTTAAATCAAAGCCGAGTTTATCAAAACTACACCATATATTTATAGGAAATGGCAATTTATTGAAACAAGAAATGGCAACTTTAAACAAATAATGAGCCATGTGAGAATTAGTTTTTGCTGAGTGTTGTTTTCATTTTCGAACATATCCCTATTTTGAAACAATTAACGCAATTCAGCTCATGTCGCGTTTTTTAACCATATCCTGATTTTGAAACAATTACTTGAATTCATATCGAGTTAATTTTCAATTTTGAATTATTAAAAATACGTTTTATTTTCTTTAAAATATTCGAGTGTGGGGGGGAGCAAACAAAACAAGTCCAGGTGGGAGGGGGGGGGGCAAAAAAAATTAAAAAAGGTATTAATATTTTTTCCAAAAAGGGGTTTTTAAGGGGGGGGGCACAATGTTGCCAAGGGGGGGACCAAATTGTGCCCCCCCCTAAACAAAAGCCCTCGTACGCCCCTGTGCTTCTCTATAAGCTTTGATTTTGCGCTTAAGTATGAGAAAGGCAAACTTATTCGGTTACCTTCAGGAAATTTAAAACATTTTTGTTCTTCTCAATTGTTCTTCAATAAGAGGGGTTATAATTGAAATTGATTCAATCTTACGTGAAATTCACTTTTGACAAACAAGAATAGACAAACGAACAGTAGACACGCAAACTGACAAAACAAACAGACACCAGGATAAACGGACAAACAATATATGTTATGAATAAACATGAGAGGTTTGAAGAAAGGGGGTTTTCCTTTCAATAACCTTTGAAACTTTACACTCGCGGGAGCGCAACGAGAAATAAGAGGGGGGGGGGGCAAAG